TTCTCCGTTAAAAAGACACACAGTTCTCCGGTGTCATTCTGTTCATTGCATCTTTCGTCAATTTTTCTTGGGGTTCTTGCTTTTCTACCCCCTTGATATCCTCCTCAGACACCATCTTCTCTTTCCCTTTGATCATTCTAGACATTATTTCAAGAGTTGCGGTGTTATTATCAATTTTCAACTCAAGGTGAGCAAGGTAAGCCATTAGATTGTTGACAACAGATGCAAGATCCATTTCTGTTCCTTCAAAATGCAATCGTTGCTTGATTTCATCTACCTTTCTGTCTTGTTGTTCCCTTTCCATCTTAATCCTCCGGTATTCCTCAATCCTTCTTCTTTCTTCAATCAATGCATCCTCCAATTGTCTGATGTTTCCAAACATTATTTCTTCAGACAATTCATGTTCTTTCTTTCCTTCACTTGCTCACCGTACTTCTCTGTTATCCCTCGTTTTGACTATCTTCGCCAGTTGATCAATCACTATTTTATGCAGAGTCTGTCGACTTTGGATAATAATCTGTTGTACATGCGTGCTGCCCTCCAACGTCTGAACAACCGTATTAGCCTCCTTTAGTTCGTTTTTTGTTGCGCGCAGTTCGAACTGGCTGCATACTTGTTGTTCAGCATCGGCTCGAGCATCATGTAGATCCGTGATCAAATGATGTAGACGGCCCAACATTCCTTGTCCTATGTTCTCAATTTGACACGGGTTTTCAGTTCACTACCTCCCTTATCAGCGAAGAAGGTCATGGAGACAGGAAAGAAGAAGTAGGGAATGAAATGAGTCGAGACGAAGAGATGCAGAGAATTCCAGAGGAGACATTTTCAAAATGTGTATTCGCCGCACAATAAATAATCACAAGACAATAATGAATTTCACGGTCACACTCAATTTAAATATCCTATAACAAGAAATAACAATGAAAAAAAAAAAAAAAAAGATTTCAATTTTATTTATTTCTAACTTTTGTTATATGTCCTATGTGTGATGACGTCCTATAGAGAGTGTACAGGTACCGTAACCACGACCAGTATGGTTAAGACACAACAACACAGGTGAGTATGCAAGACAACCACAGAATAACCAAGACAAGTGCGTTCGTCAGCCGACACAATCAACAACAATTAATTGTCAGCCTTCTTTCCTCTACGGTTGTTCCATCTGCAGAGTCAATGCAGCCAGACACAAGGGTTGACGCGTGACACTACAACAATCGTGAAGTTGTATCGCTCGTCAACACACAAGTGCAAGTATCAACACCTCACCCACAGCAGCGTGCCAAGCATGCCATGTGTCACCCTTGGAATGCCAGCACATCAACTCTACAGTCTGCCACGTCAGCGTCAATGACCTGTAAGGTCTTCGAGAGGTAGGTCACGTCAACAATGCACGATCTGCCAACACATCCAACATTGGTATGTCACGTTAGATTAAGGTGTGGAGCACTTCGTCAGTAGGCAGTCGCAACACAGGTACGTGTCACGCCAGACAAAGCCCTGCCAATAGTAGGGTGCCACATCAGCATCCCTGCGCCATGCCACGTAGGCAGCGCGCCACGTTAGCAGTGCCAATATTCACTCTCTCTCTCTTACCATCGCCACGTCGGCCAACTGCCAACGATGATCTCGCCGGTATCTCAATACCACGTCAGCAACAAAGCGCCACATAAGCAATGTTGCCGTTTTCTTCTTCAAAGTGTCCACGTTATCATCTTCAAGGGGGCTGCGTGCACATGTGGTACTCAATGTTTAGACGTGCGATATTAACCGCGCACATTTATCAATGCGTTTTGTCCCTTACAAGTGCGGCACCTCCACTTTCCTGGGCGCCACGTGGCGCTTGACAACAGATCGCGTCGAAGAAGGTATGCTCTGATACCAAATTGTAATAAACCCAGACTGGAAGATACTCGTCAGACGTCGAAGTGCGAGATAACTCAGATCCAGACAATGTCTCCAATAATCATGAAAGTGACCTCTGATACAATGTCTTGTTACCAGTAGACGAAGAGAGTGGAAGGGGAATAGACATATAAGAGGGTGGGAGAGATAATAATCATCAATGACCACCAAGAGAGTAGGCCAACATTTCTCACTCTATTCCCCTCGGCCCCACGTCAGCAAACAGTATCATGTAACGAGTCTGACAAGTTTTGATCACATCGAAGTGCCACGTGGCAATGTTCTCTCGTGAAGACAATGGAGACAATCAGCAGCACACAGTATCAACGGCAACCTCGGGTAAGTATCCCGATCCCGATCAATCATCACAGATCTCGATCTCTCTCCTTGTCGCAACCAATCACCTAGTGTAGACAGCTGGCCAATGCCACCTCAGCGATGGAAACAGGTGGCATGCACCACATCAGCAATGAAGACAGGTGGCATGCACCACATCAACAATGAAGACAGGTGGCATGCACCACATCAACAATGAAGACAGGTGGCATGCGCCACATCAGCAATGAAGACAGGTGGCATGCACCACATCAGCAATGGAGATAGGTGGTATGCACCACATCAGCAAAGACTGGCGCTCAATAGAGAAAGCGCCAGCATGTCGCCTCAGTCCCGCGTCGTCGTCCATAGTGCCAGTGCACAACCAGTGTCAAGCGAGCGTCCAGCCAGCATCCAGCCAGCGTTAAGCCAGCGTCCAGCCAGCGTCAAGCCAGCGTCAAGGCAACATAACAAGACTGAATGTTGACTCTCTGGAGACCAAGCCTTATGTAGTGTTTGACGAGGCAGACCAGCCTCAGCCCTCAGGTCTCCCACCCACGGTGGCTGAGATTGACTCACAGTCGAGGGCCTGGATTGCGTACAGTTGCAGACTTCCGCTTGGTCCTGATGTTGTCTTGCTACCTGCATACAAACAAGTGTGTGTGTCTGACCGGCGGCCTAGGCTGGATCCGTATTGACTTTGACTGTTGGGCCTCAGGCAGTTGACCGAAGTCAACTGTTAGGCGTTCAGGCTCTGGTCCATTTCGGAGGGTCTTTTGCCCCTTCGTCCCCATGGCCAGAAACCGGGGCCGCGGCCTGTGGGCCCCGTAGCCATTCAACGAGCCATAATGAACGGGTTATTGCAATATGTCATGATCCCGACTTGTTAAACTTCCTACACGTATGTTGAGAGTTTTAAGCCTCTGGAAGTATCGTGAAATTGGAGGTCTCATGAAATTGGAGGTCTCAACCCTGATAGGCATCGGTCATCGAGCAATGGATGTCAGCTATGATGATACTGACTGAGAACTCAACCTGAGAGCTCTTCTGTTTGCATGTGTACTGGGTGTGTCCCCACCAGCCACAGCCGGACCTGAGCAGCCACTTCCACTTGGCCCGATGCTCCTGATTGCTACGAGTTACAGAGCGGCGGCGCAACTTGGCCCGGTGAGTTACCAGTGCTGACTGCCCATGGACACCGATCCTACTCAGGCGGCTGAAAGTGTCGGCAATGGGAATAGAACCCAGCACCTACGCATGCTGTTCAGGCATGAAACCTACTGAGCCAGCCAACAGGCTTTCCCTTTCTCCCTTGACAGGCTCCCAGTAATAGTCGAGGAAGTTTTCTTCTCTCCTTTGTAGTTCTTTCCTCCCTACCCTGGCTCCCCCTCCCCCATTGTACCAGTCTCACTCATTCCAGCTCAACAAATATTTCTACTCTTCAGTATGCACCGCTTTAGTAGTCACCTAGTCACTTCATATTGTGTTGTTTTTTAGTACTTCTTTCATGATACTAGGACAGTGATTTGCTAGAGCTTCATCGATCGTTGGTAATTTGTTAGTGTTTTTGGGTGCATTGTTTTATGCACCGGTTTAGAATAATTGGAAGTTAGGGTTTGCACTATGTCCTTGGTAATTTGTTAGTGTTTTGGGGGCGTATTGTTTTACACGATGGTAGGACAGATTGAAGTTAGGGTGACGAATGTTAGTGGTCCGGTCCTTGGGCTTGACCGGTAATGTCTCGCCCACTGACGGGACCACCTTCTTTTGTGAGGGACGCCAGGCCCGATTCTGGCTTTTTTTGAAATATCTAAGGATCTTTCTTTATTCAGAAAAAAAAAAACGTAGTTACCTGTCTACTACCAATGCACGGTCTGGAACACACACTTCGACTCGATACGGAGTGCAGGGTAAGCAGTGTGATGCCCACAATGGTGGGTGCCCTGCAAAAAGTTGTGCCTGTGCAGCACATGCCTGATGGGGTAGGCAAGGCCCAGCCCATCATACTATTCTCGTGCTAAGAAAGCATGAACCTGGCCATTTATGTGCCCACGTTCATGTTTTCTAGACACAAATGGAGCGCCAGAGTGGGCCTGCACCTAAGGGATGTTCGCCTTGTTGTTGACCTGTTCACTCACAGTTACACACGTCGTGTACCATACAGCCATGTGAAAAAAAAGAAAGAAAGAAAAAAGACACTCAGCCACATGGGTGATAAGGCCCCATTGGATGAAATATGTTTAGAATCTTTAGATGACATTTGGAGATTTTTTTTAATTTTTTTTTTAGGCTAATTCTTTTAAGCACAACCAATTCAATCACCTGTCAAATTTGGACAGGATGGCTGTTCAGGCCTTATTATCATTATAATATTACGGGGAACCCGTAGCAGCCACATCCATGTTCAGGGAACATGCACCCACCAACAGGTGCCAGTGGGCGATACCGGCCAGCCGGTAGCATCAGGACTGAGCTTCTTCGATGGGCCAGTCTCTGTGCCTCCCCTCTGGTTCCCTTCCCCTCCGTGCATCAGCAGTCTCTGTTCAATGCGGATAGGGGGGACCACGGGCCTATCTCTAGGTGGCGGGCGCCAAGCTTGCCCACGAAGCTACATGAGGCCAATTGGGATTGAACCCAAGACCTCCTGAATGCCACTTGCCTGGCTTACCAGCTAGGCCGCTGGATCATGTTAATTTTTATCCTCCAACTGGATGCCCTTCTGAGTGATTTGAGAGAAAAATGAAACGGGAAAAACAGAAAGACAAATAAATCGAAGTACTTACCTGTAAGAGGCCCTGCTTTGGGTCTTCAAATTTCACTTCCACCCATGGTTCTGCGCACTTGGGCTGGCAGTAGTTGCCGGACTGGATGTTCGCTACTCTTAGTTGCCTCCACGTGGGGGGCAGAAAGAACTGGTATGGGGCCACATTGCCTGCATATTACACATGTCAACAGTTCAGAGTCTCTCTCGAGGATAAGGTCATTGTATTAGTAATGATTACCTTCAGACACACGCACAGTTAGACAGAGACACGCAGACACACACACACACACACACACACACACACAC